CCCCCCCCCTCGTCCCTCTCTGCTTGCTGCTTCTGCCGGCCCTGCTGGCTGTTAGTCACGCACTAAGGAGGCGCGCCGGCCAGCAGGCCAGCAGAGATGGCAATTTGGATGAGAGCAAACGGTTTCTGCTTTTCCGAGCTGCCGCCGCCGCCACCGACGTCGTCGTCTTCCTTCGCCCCTTCGCAGGTGGGGCGGAGGAGGAGCGACCCGCATCTTCAGGTGCTCTTTGCAACAGGCATATACTCTCTCCACGTACAAAAGCATGTGACTCACCTGAAGGTGGCCGCCGAGGCAGGTGGTCCCGTTGATGAGGGTGCCGATCTTGAACCTGCGGAAGCGGATGCGCAGCACCCAGTCCTTGGGCGCGCTCCGGAAGTTCCGGAAACGGTACCAGCAGGTGAGCGGGCGGCCCGCCAGCGCCGGCGTCAGCGCGGGGCTGCCCACGTCCTGGGCGCCGGAGATCTCCACCGTCGCGTTGCATGCCGGCTTCACGGAGCGGAGATCTGTGGGCAGAAGCAGCCGAAGTCGCTGGTTACACTGTGCGTTTAGCTTTTGCCCCTGGCACTAGACACTTCCAAAGGTGTCTAACTTTGAAATCGTCCGTTTTTCTGAGATCTGTTGGGCAAGTTGTGGAAGATCGGCGCCTGCGAAACACAGGGTAGGCCAGCCCGCAGTACAGGCATGCACTGTAGGCAAAGATGTTGCCAACCCACCAGGCGCCATGAGAGCTTAAAGAACTGAATTTGACAGAGGTTGGCAACGGCGAATGACGAACGTATATTCTGAATTCTGAAGGATCCCTCTCTTTTGTCGAACAAATAGATTCAGTTCCCATAACTAAAACGTATGGGGTGTTGAGATAAAGGTGGAAAGCCAGGCAATTTTTTTTTCCTGATTTACGGCCAGTCTCACACGTTTAGGTCGTTTGCGTTGCAAAAATAAATAAATAATTATAGGAATCAAAGATGCGGAAGGACGTCAAGAGAGGGCGGGTTGTTGGTTCTCGCTCGGGCCGCTAGTAGGGAGGGGAGAAGAAAGAAGCGCCCCTGCCCTCCTGCCTCACTCAAAGGGACCCAGCCGCGCGCCCCGGCTGCTTGAAAGCGCCGCCTCCACTAGAAGAAGAGGCGGCGGAGGTCGGCGGCGTTGGCGTCGATGGAGCAGAGACCCGCCGGCAAAAACACCCCCCACGTACCCACCCTTAATGAAAGAGAATCCTGATCAAAGGTGGCCCCTCCTGCTGCTGTTGCCTCCTCGCGCGCGCCTGCGCCCCTTCTGCTCCCGTTGCTCCCCGTCGCCGCCTTGCAGGGCCCGCGGGTGACGCGGCGGGCGGCGGAGCCCAGTTCCAGTGACCCCTTTCACAATTAACGCGCGCCAACGCGGGGGGCAGTTTCCGCGCATGTACACCAGACTCGGACAGAACCAACTAACCGATGTGCAGCAAACCAGTCAGTCCATCGCGTGACGCGGAAGAGGGGCGGAACTCCATCCCCAATCTCTCTTTCTATCTCTATCTCTATCTCTCTCTCGCTCTGGTCGACCCAGCTGGACGTGTGACGTGGGTCAGAGTCTGCCCAGCTCTGCCTGCGGCTGGTCCCGGACTGCTCGGGGGAAGGGTGGGTAACCCTCCGCACCCGCGCACCCCTCCTGCCCCGGCAAGGACGATGAAAGTCGTGTTGTACTGTACTGCGGGCGGTTTGTGGAACAAGTCCCCACTGTGTGTGCGCGCGAGTGTGTGTGTGTGAGTGTGTGTGTGTGTGTGTGTGTGTGCGCGCGCGCGCGCGCGCGCCGGCCGTGTCTGTGTGTCTTTGGCGCGTAACAATGGTCGAAGCCCTATACCCCGCCCGAACCACCACCACAACATCCCCAGCCCCATCCGGTCCAGTTCCAGGAGGGCGCAACGCGTTCACCCGTAGTTGTGCGCCGCATATAGTGATGCTGCATACGGGAGCGGAGCTGATCTGTTCGCGGAAGCGCGATGCGAAGGGTCGCACCCGCTGCCCAACTAAAGCAGGGCCAAGCATTGTGCGCGCGCCTCACATCAGCAGTATCGCTACTCCTGCCCGACAGGTACGTGGCGCTCCTAGCACAGTAGTTGGTGCACGCATGCGTGCAGTACATTCGAGCAAACTAAGAATTTGACTGTGGCACCCACTATGTGAGAATTAATTTGGTCAATTCAAAATATTATTTGATATCATTAACAACTTAAAAACAATGTTAAAACATCACGGAAAAATGTAAGCTAGGAAGTGTCAAAAACGATTCAAAGAGTAACAATAGACACTACTGTGAAATAGTCCAGAAAAACCTAGAATTTTTTTCTCGGTACGACTGTGGTGTTCCAAATCAAAATTAAAAGCGCCACATAAATTCGCAAGGAGGGTGTAAAGAACGAGGATCATAATTCCACGCGATAATTGTGCTCCTCCTTTTCCAATTTTTGTTTTTTTAAAAAAGGTACCTCCTCGCGCCCGGCAGGCGGCCAGCCAGGCCGCCGCGCACAGTGGAGCCAAGTCCACGAGCCTGCCAAGCTCGGCACGGCCACCTTATTGTCCACCGAGTTGAGCTCCTCCCTGGTCCGCACAGCCTCCACCCCAGTAACTCTTTTGTTGACTCTGGGGTCGCCACACCGGGCCGGGCTGGGCGCGGTCGTGAATTTAACGAAGCAATAACACCCCTTTGCGGGAGGGGTTTTGGTCTTAAGCTTGTTTACCAATACGGTTCGTTTCCTGCACCTCTATTAAAATTTACCTGCTCCAAAAGAGAAACACAAACACAACAAAAACCCCATAACCTCCGAGCACAATCTTTTGGAACGCAACGCTGAAAAAAATTAACCTTCTTCTTATATTATCCCTTTCCGCCCCTGTAAACCGCCGGCCAATCTTGGCACGAGCGCAGCCAGCCGTCCGGGGCAGAGGGAGGACGTCACCGGGAGGAGGATTTTCATTATGGAGCCGAGGCTCAGGTCGGGCGCCCTGCGGCCCAGCGAGTAATTAACCGTGACGGAGTGCGAGAGAGACAGCGACACACGTGGGTGACAAGAGGCAGAGGGCATTATCATCATGCTTCACCTAGCACACCAAAATAATACTGCTGCAGTTTTTTTTTATATTTTTTTTCTTTTGTATTTGCTCGACGAGTTTTGAGGGTGGTAAATTTGCCTTGGAAGCGGTGTGCGTTCCTGTTTTGGCTGACGACTGTAGCAAATCCGCACATTCTCTCTGAATTCGGTATGGGCTTAAGTTAAGGTGAGCGGTGACAGCGCATGTACAACCTCCCCC